GAACTTGACCTGGGCCTTGGTTGGGCATCATTCTTTTTTTTTTTTTTAACATTCCTTTATATCATTTTTATTCTTAAATTTTTATTTGATTTTTAATTTATGGAATTAAACAAGCAGTTCCATAATATGGTACAATAAAAAAAAGATAACTGTTCATGAAACTGCAAATCTACTATACACAGCTTGCTATTTCTTTCAAATATGCAACATTATCACGTAAATGTCTTTTTTTCCTTTTTTCCTTCCCCCTAGCCAAAAAATGTGATTTTTTTTGTAGACTATATTCTTTTTTTTTAACAAATTTATTTATTTTTAGTTTTCAACATTTACTTCCACAAGATTTTGAGTTCCAAATTTTCACCCCATCTCACCCCTTCCCCCCATCCCAAGATGGCATGCATTCTGAATACCCTTTCCCCTAGTCTGCCTACCCTTCTAGCTCTCCCCCACTTCTCTTATCCTCTTCCCCTTCTATTTTCGTGTAGGGCAGGATAGACTTCTGTACCCCATTTCCTGTATTTCTTATTTCCCAGTTGCCTGTGAAAACTTTTTTTTAAACATGTGTTTTTAAAACTTTGGGTTCCAAATTTTCTTCCTTCCTCTCTCCCCACCCACCTTCATTGAAAAGGCAAGCAACTCAATATAGGTTATACATGTGCAGTTATGCAAAACACTTCCATAGTAGACATGCTGTGAAAAACTAACTCTATTTCCCTTAATCCTATCCTTCCCCCCTCTATTTGTTCTATTCTTTCTTTTGACCCTGTCCCTCCTCAGAAGTATTTGTTTCTGATTACCCCCTTTCCCAATCTTCTCTCCTCTCTATCATCCCCCTACTCTCTTGTTCCCTTCCCCTCCCATTTTCCTGTAGAGTAAGACAGATTTCCATACCCAATTGAGTGTGTGTGTTATTCCCTCCTTAAGTCATATCCTATGAGAATAAGATTCACTCATTCCCTCTCACCTTTCCCTGTTTCCCCTCTACTGTAAGAGCCTTTTCTTTTCTGTTTTTTGTGAGATAATTAACCCCATACTACCTCTCCCTTTCTCCTCCTCCTAGTATAATCCTCTCTCACCCCTTAATTTTATTCTCCAGATCAACTCACCCTGTGCTCTCTATCTATCTATCTATCTATCTATCTATCTATCTATATACATACATATACTTCTTTCCCTCCAACTACCCTAATACTGACAAAGGTCTCACGAGTTACAAATATCATCTTTCCATGCGGGAATGTAAACAGTTCAACCTTAATAAGTCTCTTATGATTTCTCTTTCCTGTTTACCTCTTCATGTTCCACTTGAGTCTTGTCTTTGAAAGTCAAATTTTCTATTCAGCTCTGGTCTTTTCATCAGGAACTTTTGAAAGTCCTCTATTTCACTGAATGACCATTTTTTCTCCTGCAGGATTATACTCAGTTTTGCTGGGTAGGTGATTCTTGGTTGTAGTCCTATCTCTTTTGCCCTCCAGAATATTATATTCCATGCCTTGTGGTCCCTTAATGTAGAAGCTGCTAAATCTTGTGTTATCCTGATTGTGTTTCCATAATACTTGAATTGTTTCTTTCTGGCTGCCTGTAATATTTTCTCCTTGACCTGGGAACTCTGGAATTTGGCTACAATATTCCTAGGAGTTTTCCTTTGGGGATCTTTTTCAGGAGGAGATTGGTGGATTCTTTCAATTTCTATTTTGCCTTCTGGTCCTAAAATATCAGGGCAATTTTCTTCGATAATTTCTTGAAAGATGATGTCTAGGCTCTTTTTTTGATCATGGCTTTCAGATAGTCCAATAATTTTTAAATTCTCTCTCCTGGATCTATTTTCCAGGTCAGTTGTTTTTCAAATGAGATATTTCACATTGTTTTCTAATTTTTCATTCTTTTGGATTTGTTATACAGTGTCTTGATTTCTCATAAAGTCACTAGCTTCCAATTACTCTATTCTAATTTTTAAGGAAGTATTTTCTTCAGTAAGCTTTTGGACTTCCTTTTCCATTTGGCCAATTTGGCTTTTTAGGGTATTCTTCTCCTCATTGGCTTTTTGGACCTCTTTTGTCATTTGGGTTAGGCTATTTTTTAAGGTGTTACTTTCTTCAGTATTTTTTTGGGTCTCCTTTAGCAAGCTATTGACTTGTTTTTCATGATTTTCTTGCAAAACTCTCAGTTTTTCCTCTACTTCTCTTACCTGCTTCTCAAAATCCCTTTTGAGCTCTTCCAAGGCCTGGGACTGATTCATATTTTTCTTGGAGGTTTTGGATGTAGGAGCTTTAACTTTATTGTGTTCTTCTGGTTGTATGTTTTGATCTTCTTTGTCACCAAGGTAAGATAATATAGTCTGACTCTTTTTGCGCTGCTTACTCATGATCCCAGCCAATTACTTGAGTTTTAAACTCTTTATTAAGGTAAGAGTCTGCTTCCAATGTGGAGAATGTACTGTCCCACGCTTCAGGGGTTTATACAGCTGTTTTTCAGAGGTACTTCTAGGGACCTGTAAATTTTCAGTTCTTCCAAGGCGGTATGATAAGGAGCGAGGTGTTTCCTCTCCACCACCACAACAAGCTCCACCACGCCAGCACTCCTCTCCCCAGGACTACCCCTCAGAACTGTGACCCAGATCCAAGCACAGGCAAAGCAAGAGATTCCTGCCTCAGCACTGGCAAAGAGATCCCTGCAATCCCTCTCTGATCAGCCACTCGATTCCCCCTCAGTCTGTGGGCCAGAAGCTCAGGAGGCAGCCACTGCCCCAGGGGATGGCTGAGACCTAGCTTCTACCTCTCACCATAGTCACAGATTTTTCCCACTGACCTTCTAAGTTGTCTTAGGCTTTCATGGGTTGAGAAGTATGGAAACCATAACAGCTGCCTGCGATTCAGTCCTGTGAGGCCTCCTCTAGGGTCGCTGTGGCCTGTGCACCCATGCCGCACTGTGCTCCTCTCCCCACCTGGAGCAATATACCTTTCAGATCAACCATCCAGGTTGTCTTGGGCTGGAAATGTGTTTCACTCTGTCTTTTTGTGGGTCCTGCTGCTTTAGAATTTGTTTAGAACCATCTTTTTCAGGTTTTGGAGGGATTTAGGGGAGAGCTCAAGCAAGTCACTGCTTTCACTCTGCTATCTTGGCTCTGCCCCCTCACTGGGCATCATTCTTGACTGGTGCAGGTAAGGGATGGAGGGGAGACCCACACCTAGGGACTCAGGATGCAGAATCAAGAAACTCCGTCTGTCTGTCTCTGTCTCTGTCTCCTTGTGTCTTTTTCTGTCTGTCTTCATCTCTTTGTCTCTCACATCTCTCACACATGCACACCATGTCACCGCTGGAAAGATAAGAAAACTTAGCCCCAAAGAGATATTGAGAGGGCTGGACTAAAGGATCTGCAAGGTCCCCTCCAGCTCTAAGTCCTACAAGACATCATGGTAACATTGAAAGAACCCTGAGCATGGAATTAGGACACCTGGGTTCGAATCCTGAATCTCACCCTTCCTGGTTGCATGACCCTGGATAAATCACCTAATCTCTTTAGCTCAGAGGTCTCCACATTGCTTGTGCATTGAGGACCACCACATACCCCTCAACCTCCCTTCCCTGTTCTAGGCTTTCCTAACTTGTCTCTTCATCATCCTCACACCAGAATTGTCAACAGAGTCCTGAACTTTGCGAAGTTCATTCCTCTTCACCCTCCTCTCACCCTATCCTTCTACTTAGGTGTGGTGGGAAAATGTAGGCCCTGTCACTAATGTGCTGAGTGACCTTCCCTTCTCTGGACCCATTCACTCCTCTGTAAAATGAGATCATGGTCATTTTCATCTATCCTTCCATCCCTCCATGTCTCCTTCCTAGGGCTCTTGTGAGGATTAGTCATAGAATCTCAGAGCATGAAGGGAACTTGGAGGTTGTTTTGTTCAGCCCCTACTTGAAGTAATAGAAAGAGCCTTGTCCTTGAAGCCAGAAGACCCAGGTCCCAATTTCATTTCTCCCCTTTCACTAGTACTATGACCTTGGAGATGTCTCTTTCCTTTCTAAGCCTCAGTTTCCTCATCTGTAAATTGGGAGATTGGATGCTAAGACTTCTTCTAGCTCTAACATTCTTTGAGTCTTAAATAGTGGATAAAAGGGTATTTTGGAAACTATGGATCAGAATATACAAGCAATGTATCGCAAAGCAATACTTAGTCCCCAACTCTCTGTTCCAAGTGCGCAGAATGATCACTGACTGATCAAAAGAATTCTGCTTTCAGTTTCTGCAAATCATTTTTATCATTCTCCCATCTTCCCATGTGGGTGATGCAGGCACAAGGCCCAGAGGCCCTGGGAGAGGGAGGATGTCAGTTTTTCATGGCCCATTCTGTGGGAGCTGGAGTGAGGGACTTTTTTTTTTTGGGTGAGGCAGTTGGGGTTAAGTGACTTGCCCAGGTCACACAGCTGGTAAGTGGCAAGTGTCTGAAGCTAGATTTGAATTCAAGTCCTCCTGACTCCAAGGTCAGAGCTTTATCCACTGTGCCACCTAGCTGCCCTAAGTGAGGGACTTCTAAAGGAAGTCAGTCTTGGTTAATCAGTCTGTCTATCCAAGTGCAACCAATTAATGAATTAGGTATTGGGGAAGAAAGTGAGTCTTCTCAAAGGAGCAGAAATCAAAGCCCGGGTCTCATCTTGGCTGTGCAAATTTCTGCTAGTGACACAAAAATGTCACATCCATTAGGTTGTTACACCCATTGGTGAGATATGGATACAAGAGCATATCTAGTATGGTCTTTTTCCAAATAAGAATCATATCCCCATCCCTTCCTAAAGTCCCAGTCAAGGAGGGGGTTAGGTCATTAGTTTTATCCTGTTTCTCTTCAAAGACAAGAATTTTCCTGACTGACCCTTGGGCTCCTCTTCCCATCACACAACTACTCTCAGAATGTGATTACAGGTTTTCAGGCAAAAAAGAGTATGAACCTGGAAATCAAGACCCTGAAGGACTCTTTGGAGAAGGTCAATACCACCTACAATGTCCTGAGACAGCAGCATGGTGAGTCTCCCCTTTTATGGTGGGAAAACCTCAGACAGAGTTGTCTGTGCTCACCTTTAATTGTCCTTGCTGCTACTACAGCTCCTTCCATCCCCCAAAATAACTATGGCTTTTTGCATGTGTCCCCATGCTCTCTCAGGTAAGTCATTTTAATGTGAATGAAGTTCTTACTTAATTATATAGAGCACCTGGGTCTCCCCAGCTTGCACATGGACTACCCACCCAGACAAGATTCCTCAAGTTCAAAATATTTTGTATATCTGCATACACTCAAAAACTGTACCTGATGAACCCCCACCAATATGTTTATTTTTACTAATCAGCCAGATGATACAACTGGTTTAAATCAAAGGTATTTTAATGAAATAGTAGAAAGATCAGCAGTAGAACAATTTCTCCTGAAGCATACCTCCTACAAATATACAAACCATCCATGGAAATAGCAAATTTATTTAGGGAATATACATAAAGGGATATACCCACAGGGAATATATGTATCTAAAGTCCATTTGTGTACAAGCAACTCACACTTATGACAATTTAGGGGCACTCATATCTCCTGATGACGCATCTTGTTTCTGCTTGAACCTGCTACAAATCGTGCCTAACCGGCATTGCTCCAGAGATCTCATGGTAACTGCTGTGTATCACTAGCACCGGTGACCCATTTCTTGGTGCTAGTAGGCACTGACCTGCTGGATATGTGGTTGCAGGGCTTCCCTCTTCTACCAGCTTGTGGTTTTCAACTGAAGCCCTCATATGAGCATTTCATGGTTTTTCTTCCAAATGAGAAGTGGGCTCTGACTACTCTCTTTTAGCTTATGGATCAGAAGTTTCAGTTTCAGTGAGGAACTGACCCACTTAGTCATCAGAACGGGAAACTCCTTGGCTATTTTCTTTCATAAGGAGAGGAAGCTGTTATGCCCTAGAAGTATATAATGGGAAAAATAGTACTGATCATAATGGACAGCACTCAGGTTTCATATAAACTAGGCTGAGGTAGGGGTGGGAATGCTACCTATATTAATACCAATATGGTACCTGAAGATTTCTCACACTGTAGTATATTTTTACACTCCAAAGAGCCCTAAAGTCTCTTCCAGCTTGAAATCCTGTGAACTTCTTGGCCTCTCTCTGTTAATTCATCCACTTCTCTCTTCTGTCCTCCTTCTCCCAAGAGATTCTCATGAAGAGAGACTCCCTAACCTGGAAAATTTACAGTGGGAATCTCTACTACTTCTCCTATGATATCAAGTCCTGGGAGGAAGCTGAAAAATTCTGTGTATCCCAGAATTCCCACCTGGCATCTGTGACTTCTGTGGGAGAACAGGTAGGTGTACCCTCATACTTTGTGGCCTGGGTGTTAGGTGAGGGACCAGGACAAATGATTTTATAATGCCTAGGAACTCCCCAATCCTGGTACAGGGCAGAGAAACAGACTCCTGTCCACAGGAGGGGACATTTACCTGGGGTCCACAGTGCCCCACCTCAGAGGATCAGCTCAATCTCTGCCCTTCTCATCCTCACTTCTGTCATAGTGTTTTTCCTTGTTCTGTGGCAGGGGCAGCAGCCATAAGTGATGTCAGCCCTAGGTAGGAGAATACTATGTCCCATCAGCTCACCACCACTCCCTTCCTCACAGTCACCACTGGGAATACTCAGAGACTAACACAGTTGGCCAACAAATAAACACACATACATGCATGCACATATTAATAGCACATTTTCTGTCAAATTGTTCTGAAGGAATTTCTTTACAAGACATTGAAGGGAGAGAGACATTGGATTGGGCTCAATGACAGACACACAGAAGACACCTGGACCTGGGAGGATGGGACTATTTATGATGCAGTCCAGAGCAAAGGGTGAGTCTAGCATTTCTGGTTCTCCCCGGTCCTTCATTCTCTAGTCAACTATACTGAGATTCCAGGGACTTACCCCACTCCTACCCCCTAAGAACACCTCAGAGGTAATGAGGGGTGTTGGAATCCATTTCTGACTGTAACAATGGCTGGTTATGTCATTGTGTGTGTGTGTGTGTGTGTGTGTGTGTGTGTGTGTGTGTGTAGTGCTGCTAATTGTTTGTGTCTGAGGCTCTCAAACATTCTCCAACATTGATGGGGCAGAGTCTCAGACCGTCACATCTGAGAGACACAGCCCTCAACTGTTTCAGAAAGAGTTAACATTACATCACAGACATACCTAGTCCTTCCTGGAAGTTTAACCTGAGGGCACTGGGGAGGCACCAAAAACACCCACAGCTGTTCTCTCCAGGGGGATACAGAAACACACATAGCTCCCTTAGCCACCTTGCCAAGGATAAGAAAAACAAACCAAAGGGAAGACTTAGAGGAAACCCAGCAATTCAGCCATGGGATCCCTGGACTCTGTAGGCTTTCCTGGGTCTAAATCTCCCTGGGTCTCCACCAGCATCCAAGCCTGCCACAAAAATGGCCAATCTACTAACTGGTAACAGTAGGCTTAACTCTTCCTCATCAATAACCAATCAATCAACAAGCATTTATTAAGTACCTGCCACATTCCAGACAATGTGCTAGGGGCTGAGGATTCAAATATAAAGAAAGAAACAATCCCTACTCAAAAGGAACTTATATTTTCATGGATGGGGGCAGAGACAAGTACATATTTATATGCGTGTGTATGTGTGTGTGCGTGTGTGTGTATACACACACACGCACACACATATAGCATAAATATAAAGTTAACAAACACAAATATATATAAAGAGGTTAAATACAAGGTAGTTTAGAAGGAAGTTGGAGAAAAGCTTCATGCAGAATATAGAGCCTGGGCTGCCTCTTGAAGGAAGAAAAGAGCTCAATGAGCCAGAGGTAAGGAGGAAGTGCATTCCAGGCATAAGAATAGCCAGTTTAAAAGGCATAGAGATAGGAGATGGAATGTCATAAAGGAGGATCAGAGAAAAGGCCATTTTGGCCAGATCAAAGATTATGGAAGGGATGAGTAATATCCAATAAGGCTAAAAAGGTTAGTTGGAGCCCTGTTGTGATGAACCTTAGAAGCTAAACAGAGAAATTATAATTGATCCTAGGGGAAATAAGGGCAGCTAGGTGGTGTAGTGGATAGAGTGCCAGGGCCTGGAATTAGGAAGACTCATCCTTATGGGTTCAAATCTGGCCTCAGACACTTATTAGCTGTATGACCCTGGGCAAGTCACTTAACCCTGTTTGCCTCAGTTTCCTCATCTGCAAAATGAGCTGAAGAAGGAAATGGCAAACCACTCCAGTATATTTTCCATGAAAACATCAAATGAGGTCACAAAGAGTTGGACGCTACTTAAACTACTCAACAACAACAGGGGAAATAGGAAACCACTAGCCTTGGCTGAGTATCAGAGTCATATAGTAAGATCTGGACATAAGGCAAGTGACTTTGGCAGCAGTGCATAGGAGAAGCTTGAGTCAGGGACAGTAGTTAAGAGGCTGCTGCAATAGTCTAGGGATGGGTAATGAGGGCCAACCCCAGGGTGACAGCTGTGTGAATGGAGAGAAGGAGGAAGATACTGGAGATGTTATAAGGTGGCAACAGCAAGATTGGGCAAGCAATTATCCCCCACAGCATACAGTTCTGATACTCCAATAATGACAGTTCAGCTCAGGTGAGAATGGCCACATACACACATACATACACACACACACACACACACACACACACACACACATCAGCTGTCCTAGTGGCTGCTCAGCTCAGTGTTTGAAGCTTGACTGCTATCTCTGGCCATGATTCTGGCCCAAGTGGCAAGTATAACCAGATTTGGAATCAGAGGATCTGCATTTGAATCCAAAACATGAGCTGGTGTGACTTTAGACAAGTCATGTTTCTTTCCTGGGCATCAAATTCCCCAATCTGTAAAATGAAAGGGTTGGATTAGAGGATATTTAAGCTCCCTCCCAGCTCTAACCCTTCTGCTCCTAGGATTCTATCAATCCACTGCAGTTCCAATTTCTGCCTTCCCTGGCTAGCTTGTGTTAACTCCTCAGGTCTTCTCTAGGCATCTTAGAATTACAAAATGAGTTGGAAGGAATCTCAGAGGTCAATGAATCCATTGTCCATGACTAGCAATTGCCTCTACAACAACCCTAATAAGTAGTGATCTATTTTCCATTTAAAGATTCCCAATGACAGGGAACTCACTTTTTCTAGAGGTGATCCATCCCATCCTGGGGCCACTCTTTTTGTTAAGAGATTTGTCCTTCATAATAATAACAGCTAACATCTATTTAATGCTTCAAGTCTTACAAAGCAATTTACACAGGCTATCAAATTTGACCCTGTCAGATGGGTGCTATTATTATCCGCATTTTACAGATGAAGAGATAGGCTGACAGAGATTGTGACTTGCCCAGGATCACACAGCCAATAAGTGTCTGAGGCTGGATTTAAACTCAGGTCTTCTTGATTCCAAGTTAAGTGCTCTATCCACTATGCCACCTACTTCTACCTACTGCTCCTTGTTCTATCATATGAGGTCAAGCAAAACAAATTGAATCCCTTGTCCACATTAAGAACTTCAAACACTAGAAGACAGAAATCAAGTTCCTCTAACAAAACAATAAGATTTCCAGCCAGATATTGAAAGAGTTCATTAATCTCAATCTCTGGAATGATTTCCTGTCTACCACCCATCATCTAGGTTCTGGATACCAGGACAACCCACCAATTACCAGGGGAAAGAAGACTGTGTAGAGATAAAGATAGAGTCTCTTGCTTCCTGGAATGATGAGAATTGTGAATTAAAATACAAATTCATCTGTAAGAGTCCCCTTGGGCCATAAAACCTGGACTTCTAGGAGGGGTATCTGAAACAGAGCTCTGAGGACCCCAGTTCTGCACCTAGAACCTCTTCCGAGTTCCAGCCTCATCAGGCACTCCCATGCTTTCACCCTATGACACTGCTGTCAGTCAGCCTTTGGGAGCCGCAGGGATTTCAAAGCTTGGAACATGACTCAGATCCAGGAGGACTTTTGCCCCCAATCCATCCATTCTCAGTCCTCTGACCTCCCACCCTTAGTCATAAACTCAATGTCAGAGTTGTAAAAGACTTCAAAGATCAAGTCCAAGCCAGTAGGATACTCCTCTACAAAACTCCCTTATCATCTCCATCTCATAGAATCCCTAGCGTGCTTCAGAGTACAGCTAACTCCTTGAGACCTTTCCTGATCCCCCAATTGCTAACACTCTCTTCCTCTTGAAAGTACTTTGAATTACTTCGCATACACTTTTTACTTATTTTTTACATGTTGTATCTCCCCATTTGAACATAAGCTCCCAATACTCAAAAGGCTATGAAGTTGTGCAATCCAGAAACACCACTGCTAGGTCTATATCCAAATGAGATTTTTTTAAAGGGAGGAAAGGATCTATTTGTACAAAAATATTTATAGCAACTCTTTTGTGGTGGCAAAGAAATTGAGGAAGATGCCCAGCAATTGGAGAATGGCTGAACAAATTGTAGTATGTGATTGTAATGGAATGTTACTGTGCTATAAAAAAAGGATAAATTGGTAGATTTCAGAAAAACCTGAAAATATTTACATAAACTGATATAAAGTGAAATGAGCAAAACCAGGAGAACACTGTACACAGTAATGGCAACACTATACAATGACAGACTGTGAATAACTTAGCTATTCTCAGCAATACAATGATCCAAGACAATTCCAAAGGACTCATGATGAAAAATGCTATCCACCTCCAGAGTGGATGGAGTCTGAATGCAAGTCAAAGCATATTATTTTTCACTTTCTGTATTTTTTCTTGTTTTTTTTCCTTTGAGTCTGTATTTTCTTTCACAACAGAACTAATATGGTAATACACTTTGCACAATTAAACACATTATTACCTATATCAAATTGTTTACTGTCTCAGGGATGGGTGGGGTAAGGGAAGGAGTGAAACACCTACAATCAAATTTTTTAAATGAATGTTAAAAATTGTCTTTACATGTAACTGGGGGGGGGAATAAACTATTATTTTTTAAAAAGAAAATAATGTCCTTGAGGGCAGCACTTGTTTCATTTTGCCTTTGTATCCCAGTACCAAAAATGCCTTGCACATAGTAGGTGCTTACTAGATGTTTGTTGAGTTGAACATCCCTGACTTATTAATCATACAACTTTTGTGTAGAGAAGTTACCTTCCAAAGCAACCCATTCAGTTTTGTACAACACTAACTGTTAAGAAATGTTTTATGATATTGATCCTAAATCTGCCTCTAGAACTTCCCCTCATTGTTTCCAAATCTGCCCTTTAGGACCAACAAGAACAAGTCTAGTCCCTTTTCCCCATGAAGACCCAGATGAAAGGAACAGTTGCCACACCTTCCAACCCTACCACCAATCATCCCTGGTCTATTCACTCCTCCTTCCTACAGCCTCCAGTTCTTTGGTCCATTTTCCCCTACCCCCAGTCCCACAACCCACCACTATTGGCCTTGGATGCTGCTGCAGCTTCATGTGCTCTTAACCTCCCCTTCACTTTCCCTGAGCTGAGCCAGGGAGGATGTGGGGACCATGGGTAATGAGGGGCCCTAATGATATAAGAATCAGTTGAAGGAACTGGGGGTGTTTAAACTGAAAAAAGAGAAGACTCATGGGCAGATATTTTTGCTCTCTTCATGTTTCTGAAGGTCTCAGGTGAAAGGTTAGACCTTCTGCTTGGCTGCAGAGGATAGACCTAGAACCATTGAGAAGAAACAACAGGGAGCCAAATGGCTTGGCTCTGTGTAAGGAAAATCTTTCTCAGTCAATAATAGTCAGTCAAGAAACATTTAATGTGCCAGATACTCTGATAAGTACCAGGGATACAAAAAGAAGCAAAAGACAGTCTCTGCCCTCAAAGGGCTCAGTCAAATGGGGGAGAGAAAAAACAAACGAATACATACAAATAAGCTATATACAGCATAAATAGGAAATAATCAACAGAGGGAAGGCATTGAGATTAGTAGGGTTTGTGGAAAGCTCCCTTTAGATAATGGAATTTTAGTCGGGACTTCAAGGAAGCCAGGGTCAGTAGTTGGAATGGTGGAGGAAGAGCGATCTAGACAGAGAAAAAGCCTGGAGCTGAGAAAGGAGGAACTTGTTTGTGAAACAGCTGGGAGGCCAGCGTCACTGTACCAAAGAGAATGTGTCAGGGAGTAAGATGGAAGAAGACTGGAAAGGTAGGAAGGGGCTAGGTTACACAGGGCATCGAGTGCCAAAGAGGAGTCAATTTGAACTGTGCACAAGTGGTGGGAGCTTTGTCAAGAGGTAAGCAGGCAGCCTGTGGAGGCCAAGGCCAGGGAGTCACCTGAGGAACATAATCTAGAGAGGTTTGCGTAGTGGATGGACCATGTGACCTCTCATGTTGTAATTCTGGGATTCCTGTCTGTGAGGGAGCTTCTAGGTTGCTCTCAAGCCCAGGAGTTCTTCCCCTTTTTGTGTGTTACAGACCCCTCTGGCGGTCTGGGGATCCTTAGGGACCCCTGCTCTTTAAATGCATAAAATAAAATACATGCAATTACAAAGGAAACCAATTATAATGAATGACAGCTATCAAAATCCTATTTAAAAGGCAAGTCCACCACCCCCAGATTAAAAACCCCTGTCTAGGAGGATATTCAGATCAGTTGAAAGATCTGAAGAAGAAAACACCTGGGATTTTGTACCTGACTTTACATATTTGAAGAGAGATTCCATTTTTCTGTTTTGCTCCAGAGGGCAGCACTAGTAGGCACTTTAGCCCTAGAGTAGGGCTGGATGGAATTTGCAGGAAGGCAGATTTTAGCTCCGTGAAAGGAAAACCTTTCTAAAAAATGAGAGCTGCCCAAAAGAGAAATGGGTTTCCTCATACGGTAGTGAGCTCCCCATAGGTCAAAGTGTTCAAGTAATGTCTAGATAACCATTTGTCAGGGGTGTTACAGAAGAGCGTCCAGGTCAGGTTAAGGTTAGACTAGTTGAGATGGCCCCTGGAGTTCCGTTTTGGCTCTGAAGTTTGTGGAGATTTCTATTGAATCTGTTCATAGCCATCTGACTTTGTTGGTTTCCCTCTGAGAACCAAGCAGTCCAATAAGGAGTTCCAATCCCCCACTGTCCTTTCCTGGGACAGATAAACTCCCTTTTCCAGGGAGGCAACAGGAAGGTCTGGACCTGAAATGAAGGGAGCTGAGTTCTATTTTTGGCTTTGACCCTGCCTAGCTGAAGTAACTATGTCATCTTACCCCTTCCATTTGTCCATCTATAAAATGGGTATACCTCACAAAGTTGTTGTGAGGATCAAATGAGATAATAATGACACTGATAATAGCTAATATTTATATAGTACTTACTATGTGCCAGACACTGTGATAAGCATTTTACAAATATCTCATTTGATTCTCACAACAACTCTGGGAGGTATGTGCTATTATTATCCCCATTTTACAGATGAGGAAACTGAGGTAAATAGAGGCTAAGTGACTTGTCCAGGGTCACACAGCTAGGAAATGTCTGAAGCCAAATTTGTATTCAGGTCTTCCTGACTCCAGGCCAGTGCTCTCCACTGGGTCACCTAGATGCCCCATACAACACATGTAAAGTGCTTTGCAAACCTTACCATGAAATATAAATGTTAGCTATTATTACTTGGTGCAGCTGAGTAAAGTCCAGTATTTTTCAAAGTCACTGTACTCAGAAACTGAAAGAAAAACCAAAGACAACCCTGCTCCTTTTGCTGGGGCCCCTTACTTCCATCTAGCATTTTCATTTCTGATGCTGACTTCAAGGAAATTTCAGCAGGTGGTCACTCCGAGCAACAAGGGCCCTCATGTAAACTCTACTGCCTTGACCCCCCCCCCAGTCCTGTCTTGGGGGAGGGAGATCATGTGAAGATCATGTATATTAGACACTGTTTGGACTTGGATTTCCCTGAGGGAAGGTTCTGAGATCCCTTGGAGGGATAGATTTCTCTCTCTCTCTCTGTCTCTCTCTCTTTCTCTCCTCCTCTTCCTCCTCTTCCCCCTCCTCCTGCTCCTCTTCCTCTCTTTCTGTCTTCTCTGTCTCTCTCTTCCTCCTGCCCCCTCCCCAGTTTTACAGGGGAAAGAATGCTGGATTGGGAGTTAGGAAACCTATGTTCACATTCTGCTCTGATACTTATGACTTGTTTGACCTTGGGCAAATTGCCAGGCCTCTTTGGACCTCTGTTTTCTCATCTATAAAATGAAGGGTTTGGACATTTGTCAGCTGAAGTCCCTTCTAGTTGTATATCTCTGATTCTATTCCTGCCCTCCCTCCAGTACTCTCCTGGGCACCTGCCATCTCAACCCCTCAAGGCAACCTGGATTGTTGCAATAGTCCTGAGAGGTAAAGTGGTGTCTCTGGGTCCTCTAGAATTGTAATCATGTGCAGAATGGCATAGAGGGAAAGGGTTGAACTTGGAAATAGGAGAACTGGGTTTGAGTCCTTAATCTACAATTTATTAGGTCTGTGGCCTTAGGAAAGTCACTTCCCTTTCTTAGGCCTCAGTTTCCTCAATGATAAAATTAGAATGTTAAGGGCAGGCCTGACTCAGGTCCTGTTCCTTCAAGTTCTATGTTGGAATATACTTATGGATCATTCAACAGTTAATGAAAAGGAGATTTACTTAGTCATAGCATAGAAAGGATATTCAACAAGGATACTGTAGCACTAAGTTTGGGTAGACCTGTGTACACACACACACACACACACACACACACACACACAATTTCCACATGTAACTGGTCTCATCAGCAGGGTAGGATGTAGTGATTTGCATAGTCTTGGGACATTTGCCAAATCTGAAGAGCCCAGACTCCATCTGGGTGCCCTTTTAGTGCCCTTAGGTGATCAATATGACCCAAAGTTCCCAGGAAGCTGTCAAAGGAGGCTTGGGCCTTGGCCCCATGAGCCAATTAAGTCTCAGAGATACCTTCATCACCTTTCAGGAAAAAAACTAGCTTAGCCCATGTTGTAAGAGGAAGGAGAAATCCTGGTAGATACTGGTTTTTCACATTGGACACTGGATTTAATGAGTTCTAAGTCCTTTGATGTTTAGGGGATAATAAAGTTCTGTCTTCAGTCAACAGCTTTCCTTATCTTTACCTTTTTGGAGGTAGAAATAAGTTAATTAGCAAGATTGCCATTAAAAGAACAGGATCCTAAAGACTTTCTGACATGGAAGGACTATAAATTTAAATAAACAGTCATTTGTTTAAACAAATCACTTGTTGTGTATAGAGCACAGTACTAGGTATCAAGGGAAATTCAGGTTTTGGGGAGAGTGGGGTATGATCTCTGTCATCTCGGAGCTCACAGAGCAGGGGATTTGCAGGGGGTGGAAATAAGATACAAACATAGATAATAACCAACAAGAATAGCTAGCATTTATATGGCACTTTAAGATTTATAGA